AATCTCCTGCATCGCCAAGCTGTCTCTTGAATCCCAAATGTAATCCTTGAAGTGAATGATGGGGTCAATGTGAGACCTCACAAATACGTGAGTAAATGAATGCCTCATGAAATCAAGAAATCGCTGCGAATGTGGCCTGAATCCAATCACCACTGGTGCGTCCGCCAAATACTGAATCAATCTGTTCTATACAGCATGAATGGCAACATGCAAAAGTTCAAATGTTGCAAATTCCAATTGGGGTTGAATGGAATCAATCTCTCCACCCTTGGTGGGAATTGTAGCCACAAATGCCTCTCAAATGGAGTATAGGACATACTCCCAGCCGCAATGTTTGGAATGATCCTGATCAGAATCTGCGCACTCCAGGCATCGTCCGCGAATCGGTTCATGAAAATAAAATCCTGGAACCCAAATTGTTCCTGTTGCTGGCCGCTGAATAGAATCTGCCACAACATCGTGGCCGTAATGAATGCCTTGTATTCCGAAAAATTCGTGCGCTCCATCTTCAAATCTCTTGCGAGAATCCGGTGGAAATACTGTCGCGTCAAATTCCGGAATGCGGGCTGTCCATCGCATCGGTCGAAGTAAATGCACACCGAAATGTCAGTCAGAATGTTGAGCAAAACAAATGTTGCAGTCATGCATGAAATGGCTTCGAATTCACTCGTGGCAAAATGTCTTGACTACTGACTAAGTGAAACAGAATCATGTTGACTATCTACTACCTGAAGGGCAAATCCCTAATGTGATGTTATGCCTCTGCAAAATTGCCTTGGCAACATACTTGGTTAAAATGTCAGATGGGTTGAGGGTTCCCGGAATCTTCTTAATCACCAGGGTCCCAGAGGAAACCAGCTCCTGGACAAACAGAAATCGCAATTGGACATGTTTGGTTTTCCGGGATGCCCCAAATCTGACAGCCATGCTCTTGCCTGCAGTTGAATCGGTAAACAGAATGATGTTCACCTTGGGAGCCACAAGGGTTTCCAGAATCAAAGATTTAATGAATAGGGCCTCGGCCGCACCACTTCCAATAGCATAAAGTTCGGCTTCCCCACTTGACAAGGCAATGGTGGCCTGTGTTCTGCTGTGTGCTGAAATGTTGATGCCGAGAATGTTCAATGCTACTCCTGATGTGGACCTCCTGGAATCGGTGCAACCTGCCCAATCGCTGTCCACATAGACCTTTATGTCCAATGATTTCACCTGTCTTCCAATCCGGAAATCAGGTCTCATAACATGGACATAATCCTTGGTTCCACTCAGGTACCTCAACAATGTCTTCAACTTAATCTTGTGCACCTCAGTGGGAGCAACCAATCCTCGTGACAACTCCTTAACAGCATACATGATGTCAACACGCAATGCTGCAAGCCACAACAATTGTCCAACCAATCTCCTATACAATTTATGCTCTTGCGAATTCAACAATTCGTTGTCAAGCAACTTCCGCAATGAATCTCCTCCTGGCGTCTGAGCCGGCTTGCTCTTGGTCATGCCATAGGAATCCAGCATGCGGTCAATGTAATCAGGAGACATGAACAATTCCATGGAATCTGATGTTCGGCGAATCTGACGTCCCAAGAAGGAGACTGTCTTACCTTCACTCAATTCACCTGTCTGCCGAATCAGAAGCACCTTCTTCAAATCTTGCATCACCTCATCAATGTCACGTCGCTCACCTACAAACATCAAATCATCGACATAGACCAATGCCCACAATTTCTTGGTCTTGTGTCGGTACAAATTCGGATCTGACTTCAAACGCTCAAATCCCGCGTCAAGCATGGTCTTGGCTAAATGCTGTTGCCATGCCTTTGGCGAACCTTTCAGGCCATACAATGCCTTCTTCAATCGCCAAAGTACGCCCCCTTGAGGGTAGTACTCCTTTGGAGGAATGACAAAAATCTTCTGCCACAACGTCGCATGCAAGAATGCGGTGGACACGTCTGCAATCACAACATCCAAATTCATGGCAATGGACAACGCAATCAACAACTTCAATGTGGACAAGCTTGGGGTAGAAGCGAATGTGTCATCCTTATCTTCAATGTATTGGTCAAAGCCACGGGCTACCAATCTACACTTCACTTCTGCTCCTTTCCAAGACTTAACCCACTTCATTGAAATTGCTGAATCAACTTCTTCCTGCGTCAAATCCTCGGTTTTCTCTTCTACATACGAATCAAAGTCCTTCATGGAATTCATTTCCTTGTTCATTCCTGCCTCTTCCAAATCTCTGGGGAATTCAGACTCTCCCCACAGAATCGGATTGGCAAATTTCTTCATGTTCCCTAATTCTTCTTCATCCTGGTTTACATGAATGGGCAAGTCCAATGACTCACGCGTGGTGACTGTGGCAATCCTACAATCTTCAACCAATGTGCAACCAAACTCGCATGGCAGAATGGCAGAAATGTAGCTTACAGTAGAATCCGCTTCAGGAATCTCTGCCTGCTCACTGGTTCTCTTAATGCCTCTTGCCTCTGCCAATCTGCGCCTATTGGTTGGAGACTCCGAATGCTCTCCAGGTTCCCTGTCAATGTCCTCATGACCTCGCGTCAATCCTTGGGACAACTGGGCTGACGAATCCTCACCAGTTCCATCGTGATCTGGCTCCTCTGTTTGCTCGTCAGTTGGTGGAATCCCCAAAGGTGGCTGGGGTTCACCTTTCTGGAGCACAGCAGAATCACCCGGAAGGATGAACGAATCCGTTTCGACCTTGGATCCTTTTGGATCCCATGGCAATGCACGCAACCCTTGCATCAAATCTCGCTTGACTTGTGATCCCGGCTGAAGTCTCCGAATGCCTCGCACCTTGTACACAGCATTGGAATCCGCCACAAAATGCTGGTCGGATGTGGTGTCACGTCCAAGCCAAATGCCTGAATGCCACGATGGCTCAGACTTAGGCGCAGGCAATCGGAACTGCACAGACTCGGCAATTCGACACAATGCACCTCCATACTTCTTTCCCCATCGTCGTTCAAATGGAGTGAATCCATCAGACCGATGAAGAAACCTGTTTAGAAGCCACATGGAGTGCTTAACAATCCAAGGAAACAATGGCGAATGCACGCTAACCGACATGCCATACCTATGTTGAATGTCAAGCTTCAAAGCACGAATCTGAGCATACAATGTTGCTTGCATGTTGGAAATGGATCCCTGAGCTTGCTTCCAGCCAGTGGGAGCTTCACGGTATGACAATCCACCAATGTCACCCGTGACTGCCTCGACCAAGGCTTTTAATGAAGCTTCAGGGTCGCACTGAACAATCCCAAATGTCCTTCCAATCTCCAACACGAATTTCCTCAACTCTGCTTGCGCATACACAATGCGTCCTTTGGACGGAACAACGCACGCCAATCCCATTCCACTCAGTACATCAGTGGCCGTGAGCAATGTCACCTGTGTGTCACTTTGTGAATCACCCATAAAGGCGTAATCCACCTGAATCACAGGTTGCCGCACCGAAATGGCACGACTCTGGTTTTGCTTGCTCTTCGACCTGACGCAAATCTCACACCATGATCTGAATGGCAGATGAGTCAACTCATGTTCACGAATCTCATCGTCCGTCGGCTGTTTGGGAACGTACAATCCCTTTGGCCGTTGAGCCGACATTTCCGGAATGTCCGGGTTGCTCTCTTCCAAGAATTGCTGAGACTGCCGACGAAAAATCGTCGCGCCTTTGAATGGCTCAGGAAATTCCGTAGCAGCAGCCTCTGGGTCAGCCCAGTGGTCGTGAATCCACTGGAGTCTCCCGTTGAGGAACACAGCCAATGTGTGCCTCTCGTTCCCCAGCAATTCCTTGGAGGGAGCGGCCGAATCGGTCTCATCTGGCACATACAGACAATTCCTCCACTCATGGTGTATCCTAATGTCAAACTTGGGTGTGAGGTACCATTCATCATGTCCGAATGGTCCTCCTGTCTCCGGGTCACTCATGCACAATCGCCGTTCCACAATTTCCTTCGCTTCTTCCAATTCTCCCGTCGTCAGCTCCTTCACTGACCGGGAATAATCATCCTGGCCAATGTCAGCAGACGGTTGCGCTTTCAAATGAGGTTTCTTTGCTGGCACTGACGCTTCCTGAATGGGAGGTCTTGCAATTGTGGATTGCTTCCCCGTCAATCGTCTTGCCGTCGGCAAGGATTGCAACGGGAATTCTGTCCTTCCCATCCAGTACTGATCCAACGCCCGTTGCGGAGAATCTATCGTCCGCCAATTGTCGGCGATGGTCTCCTCACGTCCATCTTCGAATCGGACGTAAGTTGTGCGTCTGGACGCCACATCTTCCACAGGAATGGGCCTGTCCTTGGTGCCACCTGGCGTGAATAACGCACGCCTTGCGCGCTTGTGATGTCGAATCAGCACAGCGCGTTGCGGATCAAGTTCCCAACTGTCGTTGTGGTAAATGGTGGGCTTAAATGTGGGTGCTATGGTCCCTGAAGAATCTGAACCAAACTTGGAATGAAACTCTTGACACACTTCTTCAAATCGGGGTTTGTCAAATGGAAGAATGTTCGGACCTAGGAAAAGCAGTGAGCCTTTTCGGTGAATACTCACTACCTTACCATTGGGCATAAACAATCCCAATGAGTCTGGTCCATCCAATGCTACGCGGAATCCCTGCAGCAGCAATCGTGCAACCGACACAATCGGATAAGGCACGTCACAAACATAAAAATTCATGAAGCAATCTTGTCCATCCAAGTTCAAGCCAACCAATCTTCTCCCATACATGTTCAATGGCTGTCCTGTGACACTCTTCAATGGTGGGCCATTTCCATTTAATGGAAGCAATGGCCATTGTTCACCAAAGTCTGGCGGACAGCAATGGGCAGATGCTCCTGAATCAAATAGAATCCACGGGGTGGAATCCTCGACTGCTGAAATCAACTGTTCATGCAAGAATGTGTCAACAAACTTCGAATTCAAGTGATCCAAGCCGCAGTCCTTCAAGGTGGTCACGAAATGAAAAGAATCCTTCA